AGTTGTCCACCTCTAATCCCGTAGTATTCAAGTTTTCCAGCCATAATCTTATGATTTACCGTATCGAAGGCACGTGAAAGGTCATAGAACTTCGCGTTACAGTATTCTTGTGTTTCGAAAGACTCCAATACTTTATCACAAACATCACTTAGGGCAGTAACTGTGGATTTTCCAGATCGATAACCGTACTGAAAGTTGGTAAGTAACTCATTTTTTTCAAAGAATTCCACTAGTCTAATTTTTAATACTATCTCGAAAATGTTTGCTAGGATGGGTATTATAGAGATGGGACGATAGCTATTAGCATCATTATGGTTACCTTTTTTAAATATTGGAGATATCTGGGAGAGTTTGAAAACTTCCGGAAAGGTGTTATGAGCAATACAAAAATTAATTAGATGATAAAATCACTGACCAGTTTTATAATTATACTGTTCAATTCAAACACATCTTTGGCAGACTAGGTTTTTAGACCCTTTATGATGTTATCAATCTCATTTTCAGTTGTAGGATACAAGAAGATAGATTTGTCTATAGTTGGTGCCAATTTGAGATACCTGTAGAAATCTGATGTAATGTATGAAGTAAATGTATAATATGAAAGACATAAAGACAGTAATATAAAGAGAACTAACAAATCAAATGAGATAAATAGATCAGAACATACAATACAGTTATCAGTCTGTTAGATTATTCGAGACCTAAAAATCCAAATTCAGGACCATATTAAGTTAGTGATGGAGTTTGTAAGTGAATTGCATAAACATATTTTGAATAGTCAAACTCGTAAAGTTTTTTCTGAGGGGCTTCTCACCGGCCATGACTCAGTCCGGCAGCTGTGTGTATAAGATGTGTGCATGTCGGATGATGCATTGAATATTTTGCAGAGGAAATTTCAATTCTCAATGACTGTCAGAGCAATTGATTGCATCCATGGGGAGATTCGAAAGCCAAAATTGCATGGCGGTGAATACGTTAATCAAAATGGATTACAGACTATGGATTTGCAAATAAAATGTGATGCTAATTAAGATAATACATAAGTGGTTGCTAAGTGTCCTTGATCAGTGCAAAACTCCAGAATGGGGTATTGGTTTTGGAATGGAACCCTGGTTAATGACACTTTTCGAAGTCCCCATCAACACCATATGAACTCTGGTTATATGGTTTATAAACTCTGTTTGTATGATGTTGATGGGTAAATATTGCAGTGACTCAAAAGTTAGAGTCAATCATTATTATTATTCTTATACCATCGCAGTTACATCGGGTGTTTCACAAGGTTTACATTTGGGACCACTGTTGTTTAACCTTTTTATCAACGATCTAATCAGCTGTTACCATGAAAGCAAAGCTTTGCTGTTTGACGACGATTTAAAATGTTTTAAAATACCTGAATGTGAAGCCGATACATTGTGTCTACAAAACGATATAGATTGCCTATCTAACTGGTGTTTGCAAAATTTATCTAACGGGCAGCACCCAACTGCTGGTATGTGTTTGAATGCATCCAAATGCCAAATTCTTCGTTTTCATCGAACACATCACCCAATCACTTTCGAATCATATATATAAAAATGGATGTTTGTTGGTTGGTTGGTAAGTGATAAACTTCTACATCGCTCAACCGATCGTGATGAAACTTGACATGTATCAGTAAATTTTTCATAGAGAAGGTTTTTAGTCTATCAATTTTTCTGTAACTGGCCACTAGATTGCGCTGTAGAACAATTTTTTGAAAGGACTGTTCTATAACGCCGCACACGCCTAAGTTTGTTGATTCTGATTCTGTCAAAACACTGGAACAGCAGCGATACAGCAACATAGTACTAGTATAGTATAAATAATCTGACCTCACATTCTGTTATTGAAACAGAAGATCTAGGTGTGATCCTAGACTCCACACTTAGCTATAAATCACACATTTCCGCTCTAATTAAAAAATCTATGAAGATGCTTGGCTTTACAAAGAGAACTACCTGTGATTTCACCAACATCACTGCTATTAAATCTCTTTATTCTTCTTTGGCTAGATTTCATCTCGATTAATGTTCTACAGTTTGGGTCCCTCATTACGTTACACAAAAAGTGAAAATCGAGGCCGTAGAGCACAATTTCCTGCAATATATTGCCTTCAAGATGTATACTAATACTATACTGCATTGGAATGCATTTTCAATATACTTTCTCTTGAGGCTCGCATAAAACATAGAGATTTAATACTTCTATTCAAAATTATCAATGGACTGAGTATCAGCCCCAAGCTTCTCTCAGCTAGACAGGTGCAAACGTTTTACTTCTCTTTTAACAGATTCAATTATTCATACAACAGCTTTATTCCCAGAACTCTTCGACTGGCTAACTCTTTGAATAACATTCAAATCTTGAATATATCAGTTTCCCGCTTTAAAAACTATATTTTTCACCTAGCCATCTAGTTATTGCGTTGTTATATTGTGTCTGGTGTTACTTGCTTGTAAGAATTATATTAATTCATATTGTTATACATTTTAATTTTTCTTAAATAATCTACTTATTATCTTACTTTGAAATTATATTATTCTTATAATTTACTTTTAATCCACTGTATTGCATCAAGTACTACATAGCACTGTACTACTTATATCTGAATTGGGCTTGCCCGTGTATATACATAAATAAATGTGACTGACAGCATTATCAATAAAACTTTAAGATTCACACTCAAGTTATAAATCAGTGTTGTTTCTGTGATTGTCTCACTCATATCTTTTGGAAATAAATATTGATATGAACAAGAGCGAAGAGAGTTAGTAGCATGCTGTCAGATACTTTTACCTCTAGTAATCTATTGTAGGCCTCAAAATCTTCAGTATTCTCGCAATATTTCAAAGAACTAACAAGAAAGTCTCCAACCAGATCATTCCTCTCTTTATATGATTCACAATACTTTTGTAGAAGTGTTACAGTTGAACTAGCATCTTTAAATTCACTCCAAGAAGTCAGAATTTGTTTGAAAAGTATGTCTCCTCCAATGTCCACTTTGTAAAAATTACCTAAAAATGGAAAATTTCCTCACGAAAAATAATTTCAGCAAAGATTATATACTTACACAAATTTGCAGCATCTTTCACTTTTCCATATTGTAATAAGACCAACAAAACTGAAGTTAATAGCTGCTTGACAGAAAACCCCAAATTTACTAGTTTTTGAATCAGATGTTTAGCATTATCCAGATTACAGAAGGGCAAAACATAGTATTGCAAAGTATCAGAATCTGGTCTAACATTAATTTTAATCATATTTTGGATAACCTCTAAAACACCTGAAATGAAATGAGGAATTTATTTTCAAATGAAGTGATAGAATAATATAGAATTTAACAAAAATAACAATGAAACAATCGTCAATGTGACGCAGATTGAAAAACCAGTGTCAACAAAAAATAGTACTTCAACAAATATATAATTATTCTTGATGAGTAGAATTCGGAACCTCTGGCGTGAAATGAATCTATTGATTAATCATCTCCTGGTGATGCTAACGGATGGTTAGCGAAACGCGCGACGAGAGACACCTCAAAGAGGGTATTATATATAGAGGTAAGCACAAAAAGCTAATTACAATCTAGAAAACTCACAATTATCTGAAACTAATCATAGGAGTTATGAAGCTTCATATCCTTTTTGTAACATATATTAATATCAAAACACTGAAAATAAAGAAAAACTGATTTAATTTGACTATTTTTTCAACTTAAATTTTCTTATATCAAACCACCATGTTATTTTCAATTTGTTTTATTGACATATACCCAGTGCAGGTGGTGCAATTCTAGATTTCCAAATTTTATCGAAAAAACTTCAGCCTTTTCTTAGTTGAATACAATAAATATAGTTGATAAAAATAAAACTCACCACATTCCCCTTTGACTTGATGAGCAATCACAAGAAGTGGCCAAAAAAAATGTGGCCTCAATTCGTTTATATTTTTCAACAAACTCCAAGCCACATCTACATACTTATTCCTCAAAGCAAATTCTGTTAATCTTTCAAAAGCAAATTGATTCATTCCTTTATCACGTAAATATTTTGTTAAAGATATAACTTCATCCGCCTCCTGTAAGTTTATGTTTGAACAAATATAAAATAAAAAATCATATATTTCTTTACTTACAATATTACAAAGCAGCATCTCTTCAAGAATAAAAATTCCATAATTGTCTTCCATTGAATCTGATACAAAATTTTCGTAAATTTTCATGGCATTTTTTGCTTTATGATTATGAACAAGATGAATACAAACATCTTTGAGATGTTTTGTGAATTCTCTAGACATTGTATCATATAGGGTATTCATCTGAAATAAATTGAAATTATTTTCAATGTACATAAGGCCACACAAGTGGAAAGTAATAACCCAACTCGATTAATGATGTTACTTGATGTCATCAGTGAAATAAAAATATTCCCTCAGATTTTCAAATGGATATTTTCATAAGTGTATTAAATTTTACTTCAATTTTAATACTGAACCTTAAATATATAAAACAAAATTCAAAAACGGGTAAATCAATTTTAGTTAGATTTTGATTTTACAAATACAATAAAATATTTCAAATTGGCCCCTCAGTTGACATTTGCTGCTGCCTTGAATAGCAATAGCCATTCTGATGCCACTGAAGCATACTCGTCGGGACACTATACCCTGTTCCTTCAAATTTCTCATATCTACCATGGCTCTTGTGTTGATCTTACTCAATCCATATCATTTCAAATCTTGTATATTTAACTTTTTATTTGTTCCACTTTCTCTGTAACTTCCGTTCTGTCACTTCTGACAACTGTCTTATCCTCAAACTTCAAAGTACACTAGGAATTTGATAAAGTTATATCAATATTTTTTTCGTATATTTTATCGTGTATATAAATTGAAAAACATAAGAATTATTCTCACTTAAAAACAAAAACTTCCACATCATCTGATGTTTTTAGAGCTCAGAAAAGGGATGTTCGATTTTTTGGTTGGTGTCTTGAAATAAACAATCTGTGAGAACTATTTAAAAAAATTAATACATTGAATCTTCCTTCTATATATATTATGGAGTTATCTATGTTTTCCAAAAAAAGTCACATTTTGAACTTAAAAATCTTTATTATTCGAGATTATCTAGGCAAATGATAAATTATCATATACCGCATGCTAAACATAATGTAACTGATAAATCACCGAATATACTGGGACTGAAAATATTTGACCTGAGTGCAGACATTTTCTAATGCTCAGATTTTCAAGAAAAAAACCAAGACTTTTCTGCCACAAAACTATTTTTATTACTTGTTTGTTAACCAGCTGTCACACCCCTACGAACGACAACCCTCAGAAGTCGAAATTTGTGCGAACTAAGGATTCACAAGGTCTTACCTTTAAACGTGTGATTCCTTATCACTACTGTAGGTAATAACAGATGTACTCAACTTAATTGAGTACCTGAATTTAGTTTACATGTGACAACGTGGGTACGCTAATTTGAAAAGTAGTGAGAAAACTAGATCGATTTGATCATTCACCATGTCACATCCGTAATGCTTATGCTTATGAATTTCCAAGGAATGTAGATAATTGAGTTTCCAACCCTTACTTGCATAGTGCAACATTTCCGTATCGTTTAGATTTGGGAACTCTTGGTTACATTCCGAGGAATATTTTGAAAACGTCGAGTCATGTTCACTCAGTCTGAAGGACCTTTCAAGTTCAGCATATCGTTTTGAGGAATTTTGGCCACATTGTCCCACATAAACACTATTACAGTTCGGATACTCAAACCCATAAACTCCAGATTTCTATATCTTGTTCAATTTATTTTTGGCATAAAGAAGGAAATTCCACTGGCATGTGGTCCATATTGTCTTTTCCAAAATATGTTAAGAGTTACAAATTTCTTAATTTCTGATTGTTTGATCTGGGGGTATATTGATCTGTACATAAATTTGAGGCTTAGTTTTCTGACCACCTTCTGGATTGTGTCTGCGTTGAAAGCATTATTATGTCCTATCTGTATAATTATTTTAATTTCCCTATCTAGATTGTTAGCAGATAAAGTCAACAAGAATGCTCTATGCAACATTGAATTGTAGGCTGCTAATTTATAACTGTCAGATGGAACGATCATTTGGGGTTGAAATGTCTGTAAAGTACATTGAACGCAAATTTATTATGATTATGTGTAATGGTCAGGTCGAAGTTTACTATAGTTGTCTCCAAGCTGTTTATAAATATATTTATACTAACACTCAAATGTATATCGCCTAATTAGCTCGATTTCCCTGAACTTCCCAAACTAGACTAGCCTCTCATATATTTAACTGGACTCATTGAATTTACCAAAACTATCATATTGTCTATAAATTCATCACTACAACACTATATCCAGTTTACTAACAAATTCAAATAAGTTTATTTTGTACACCTACAAAATTACTATTTATGAACGTCAGAATGGAATTTATTGGCTACATGACCGATTTTTGATAGGGCGGGACGTTTTGTTTGATACGGAGCAAAAAAGAATTTTTACAATAACAATTCATTACCAAAAATTACATGCAAAGTTTCTTAATCTACAACAACTGTTGAAAATGACTACCCCCGCTCAACAACACCAGGATCGTATCTGATTGAGTTACACCCAGCAAGTTGAATGTCTGCAGCCGTTTGTCGTAATCGGAACGTTGTTAATAGGTTTAAATCAGTTTTCCGTTAATCAGCTGTCGCACCCCTAAGAACGACAACCCTCAGAAGTCGAAACTTGTGCGAGCTAAGGATTAACGAGGTCTTACCTTTTAACGTGTGATTCCTGACACGGGAATTGTTAGATTTTTTTCATTACTTGGTAGGTCCAGTGTAGTATGCTATACATTTATTTCCGCTATATTAATAATTTTAAAATTACCAAAATTGTTGTCGAAATTCTTTTTTGCCCCGTATCTTAGAAACAAAGCGCCTCATCAAAAATCATCATAGGACAAAATATCCTTAGAATAGTCCAAGGAATAGTCCCTTAATTTTTTGCCGCATGTTTATTAAACACCCTGTATATTGTGTATTATAATACGAATATATAACAGACTTGTTCACTGGCGTTTTTACCTCTTGCAACCAAGATATTTCTCCATTTAATCCTAATTCTTGCAAAATATTCAACAACTGTTTTTCGTCCAATTTCAAAGGATAATAATTTAAGAATTTCTTAAAATCGTCGTGATTTTTTCTCCTTAAAAGTCCTTTCAAAATAGCCAGTTTCGTGTTGTTTGTTTCAGGAATCTGAGCAGTTCTCATTGTGAGTAGAACGGACTCGGCTGCTTTCAAACCTCTAAAAAAGTCATATTAAATAGTACAATTTTCATCAACCATCAGCCTTAGAAATAAAAATTAATTACCCCTTCAGTGTGTGTCCTAGAAGCAAGCTGGCAAATACATCGTCATCAACAGAATAGCCTTCATATTTAATTTCTTCCAAAATGGAAAAGGCTTCTTCAATTGCACCACTGTCGCAAACATTTTCTAGAAGAAGTTTATGAATTTTTTCATCAGGTTTGTGTTTCAGGTTCGACAAAAATTCTCTCCAATTTAATAAAATACCATTTTCTGTACATGTCTTTATGTATGAGTAATATACTTTCAAATCCACCTTGTCCTGTTCTAAAATATTGTCATAAATTGTTTGACAGAGTTCATTGCGTGATTTACGGGAAGAATTGATGGCAGAGCTTCCGCAACACCGAAGTAGAATTTTTCCATCATCGTTGCTGATAGTTTCTAGAAAATAAATTCATCTTTTCTTAAAATGAACGTGGAAAGTATTGTGAAATGTAGGTGGATGCTGAAGCGAAAATAAGAAAACATTCTACATCTTTAATCGTTTTATTAAAAATTTTTACGAATATACACACACTCTGATTCTTTATATGCAAAAAATTCCAAGAGTTCTACCTTGTAGTGATAAGAAATTTTTCCAAAGAGTTTAAATTGTTTTTGTTGATATTTGCTTTACTATCATTGAATGATATGTTTTATATATTCAATCAATAAAAGATTTGAATTAAAAAAAAATTCCAAAGCATTTTCTAAAGTCCATAAATTTCATATATGGATCACTCCAATGACACTTGCTTCAAATGAAGAGATTCCTATGTTGTTTCTAAAGTCAATACATTTCATATATTGATCACTCCAATGACACTTGCTTCATATGAAGAGATGGGGACGTAATGACATTACTTAAAAATACTCTGCCACAACAGCTGTCGGTAATGAAATTAAAGTTTTTGTTAAAGTGAAGATGAACCTGCATTTACTTCTACTTTTTGTGTCTATATTCCTTAAATGTCAGACCAGGAAATATAGATAGCTGGATTCATTCTCGGTTGATACACAAAAGTGCTTACAGAATCCAATTTAAAAAAAAAAGAAGTCATCAAAATTTTCTAAAATGGTTACATTTGTCAAAATATATACCTTATATACGGATGTATCATTTTACTACTGAAAATTAATACATATAGATAATAGCATACTGACTTACACGACATAATAAAGTCACTGTGGCATTCAAAAAGTATCTATTGTGGGAAATCATGCTTTTTTACCGCAGTAATCATTTATACTGTATGAGCATATATCCTGCATAACTACTATCACTTTAAGCCTGAATTTACCCATTGGTGAGCTTTGTATATTATTTGTTAACTGATTGAAGTGTATAATTCCTACCACCNGAGGAACTCATTTACATCCTTTAATGCTGCATTCATTTTATCAATAGCTTTATCTAAGCTTGTATCATAGCATGCTAAAAGTGTATCATCTGCAAATAAAGTCACAAAATCAATATTTATAAACAAGTTTATGTCTTTCAAGTATAAGATAAAAAGCAGAGGTCCTAAAACGATACCCTGCGGCACACCTATAAGTATATCCAATTCCCGTGACATATTATCTTGAACTCTGACTTTAGACGGGCTATACCTTTTTTCCGAATTTTTTACTTTGTAAACAACTGAATGGCACCGTGTACAATGATTTAGTTGTTGGTATGCTCATTCTTTAAAGAGATTAAAACCTTAATTAAGATAAGAATATTGGACTTTATTAATAAATATATAGGTTTTGATAAATATCAGTATGGGTTGATCGGGGGTGGTAGCACTTTGAGTAATACTACAAATTTTGTTCACTATAAAACTTCTTAAATTTTGGTAGATTTTTATTGGTCAAGGAATACAGGAGTAATCCTATCCAAATAGAATAGGATATCATTGACGAGAAGGTTCCCAGACACCAGTGGATGATCAGAAGAGTAGATCAAACTCATTCAGGCAAAGATGGTGTGATAATCATTGATCAGATAAAAAAAGGAATCTATATAAAACCCGCCGGCAAATTAGGCGTCATTCCTGTCAGCAATTAATAGATTTGCTGCTTCGTCTCTGGTTGGGGTAGAGTTTGGTTCTAACTATGCAATTGCAACTCAAGCAATTGCTTAAGTGATTCTCCTGATGTTTAGTGCAGCTTTTCATACAAATTTCAATTTATTTACCTCGTTAATCCTTAGCTCGCACAAGTTTCGGCAGCTGGTTGACGGAAAAACAGATTTTAAATAGAAAACAGACAGATTTTAATATTTAAGTTAACATAATATTTCTCTATAGGATGTATGTTTTAATATCATAAATTGTTATGCTTTCCTCGTGGGTCTGACAATAATTGACCACACTGTATAATCAAACTCAATTTCATTTCAATTCAACATATGAACTCAAAGGCCGACCGCCCACGGTGCGACTGTTTTGAGACAAAAGTTGCAAACTAGTTGACCTTGCAACTCTTTTGCAACCGCGGCAACATGTAGTAGTGTGGAGCCGCACACGAATCGACTCGAATGAAACTAGTTTGCAATCAGTTCCAAATCGATCGTACACAACCATCTGCCGCGGTCGCAGTTGCGTTGCAGGTAGAACGTTCTCTATGTTTAGCACGTGGTATCTCGTAGTTCAAAATGAGTGATCAAGAAGTAAATTTAAAATTTGTGGGAGAGGTAGAAAAACACGAAGAACTGTATAATTACAAACTTCCTGGGTACTCAAGGAAAGATGTGACCGAGAAAGCATGGCAACAAGTTGCTCGCGAAATGAATATGTCGGGTATGTAAATTTGTATAATTTATTTTTGCATTATTTTTTATGACATTATAATGTTATTTCATATTATTTCCTGGTTCTGCGAATTTCCACTGCCATGGTAGACATGTACGAGGAGAAAGAAAATAGTTCGCTAAATAATTTCTCAAATTAGTCACTGAAGAGGCTTCGTGTATCACCAAGTCTTGTGTTTCTATATTGTTGGGTTTTTCCACGATCTCGTATATTTCTCCTTGGGGATAATACTGTATTCCCTCTCCTTTCCGTACGAAGTTGTGAAGGATGGAAGGAGCTCTTATTATATTATTGACTGTTGTTGGATCACGACACCGTATGGGTCCATTAAGCACTGCGAACTTTTCTGCTGCCATTCCAAACTCGCATTCAATAGTTTTACTACCTCGGTTTAATCTATAATTAAATATTCTCTTGACATTGTCAAGGGGTCTACTTGAATAGGGCCTCAATAAATTGCGTGACAATGGGAACGCTTCATCTGCAACAAAGTAATAAGGAAACAGACTGTCGGTTTCATCATATCCTAATGGAGAAAGTAAAGGGATGTCAAAACCGCCATGGGTTAGCCAGTAGTTCATTGCAGAGGCTTTAAAAATACCGCCATCACTATTACGTCCAGCGAAACCTGGTTCTATAATGGTGAATAAGCCATCTGCATCGCAGCATGCCAGTAGTACAGTAGAGTGGAAGTGCTTGTAATTAAAGTTTTCAGTACCTGTATTTGGAAACTTTTCAATGCGGATATGTTTTCCATCCAGTGCGCCAATGCAATTGGGAAGGTTCCATAATAGTTCAAAACGATCTGCTATATGTTTAAATTGTTCTCGTGTAGGAATTGTCATGTAAATGTCTTTCAATGCGTTCCAGATAATTTCTGTACTTTCTTTGATAATTTTTCTTACTGTGCTTTCACCTCTTGCAAAATATAACGAAACTGACATGAATGTTTCACCTGTAGCCAAATACCTGTAACAAGGGAAATAAAAATATGATAACATATTCAATAACACTAAAAAAACTTATATCGCTACTTGTAATAGTGCTACTGTTTTTATTGTTTCAGTTGCTGAGTGCAAGGAGAAATGGCGCAATCTTCGTACGGTTTTTATGCGGAAAATGAAGCCTCCTCCAAGTGGATCCGCAGCAAAAAAAAGGCATATTATTTGGAAACAGCTATGCAATTTTGTTTGCCATTTATAAAAACATTGGCACCTCCCTCATCTGGAAACTTGCCGTCAGTGCCATTTCCCTCAACCAATGATGATGGAGTTATTGAGAATACAGAAATATCATCTGCTAGTGACTCTATAATGGATATCTTTCCCCCGGTGCAATCCTCACAAGCATCACTTACACAATTATCATCGTCGGCCAACACCCAACTAACATCCCCAGCTTTTCCACAGTACCATAGTTCAGAGCAACAAAAAAATGATTTACTACAGTTTTCATCGCCTACTGGAGCAAAGAGAAAATTTACATCGAAAAATAAATCAGCAGCAGCAGTCGCAGATCAATCCGTCGCTGAATATTTCAAAGCCAAAAAAGTAAAAATACAACAGACCAAGAGAGCAACGAATCAGAAAATTGACAGGAACGAGGGCCTCAAAATGTTTCTACTTAGTATGTTACCGGAACTGCAAGAACTAAGTGATTCACAAATCAAAGTTTTTAAACGTCGTTTCTTAGCTCTTATTGATGAGATATCATCTTCATCCCAGGACCATAATCAGTTAACGTTGCCACCAATGATCTCACCACAATCTGATTCTTCATCAACTCAATCCCAAAACCAGCACCAGATGCCAATCTATCACTCAATGCTCTCACCACAGAGTAGTTCTTCGTATATGTCGGAAACGTCGCATGAGACGCAAATGTCGCACGTAGCGAATACGACAGAATATTAAAAAAAATGTTCACAGAGTATTCTAAATTTGGATAACTAAATATGATTTATATTTTGAAATAGAGAAAAATGTCTGAGGTTCTATTTAAAAAATATATTTTATTACTTTTTTTTTGAAATATGTAGTTTATTATTGTTCTACTGTTTAGTACCACAGAACTTTAGATAGGTAAAAAACAAAAATTACCTTAGAGTAATCAAAATTCTTTCCTCTGCAGACACACATTCCCTCATGTTTGTGTCTATCTTTTCTATGAGAGGGCTAATGATCCTTGTCAATTCTAGGTAAGATTCTTTCGACATTCGATAAAAAGCTATAACTTTCTATCTGTTTGAGATAGTTCCTGTGCTGCTACAAACAGTCTAGAATTGCGATTTTCCATTATGTATGGTTGTAGAGTAAACTAGTTTGCAACTTTTGTCTCAAAACAGTCGCACCGTGGGCGGTCGGCCTAACTGAACTTCGGACTAACACTCAAATGTATATCGCCTAATTAGCTCGATTTCCCTGAACTTCCCAAACTAGACTAGCCTCTCATATATATATATTATATATCTCATTGGAATTCTTCGGAATCCGATGGAATTATTCTCGATGCAACGCGACACCTAGAAGGTTCGACAAAGAACAGCGCGGCCGCCATTATTTTTTTTGAGGGGATAATTTACAACAGAATGATTGGATTACAAATTAAATAAGAAAAAGTGATTTTCGTGTAATTCAAAGTTTCCCTTTTCAATTTATATCTAATCATTATGATTTAATCATTTGTTTTAAATACAATTATATTTGAAAATAATCCACTAAACATCTATTGTAATCACTTGTTAACAATTGAGTGAATGGATATTCAAGTAGTTGTTTGGCTTTATTGCATTTCAGAAGGTCAATTTTGAAAGAGTTGATCATTTATCTTTTTGATACATACTTTTTAGTAACAGTCACCCAGGCACAGATACCTCATAATTTTTTTTAATAATTTGTTCTACTCATAACATATGAACATTTAAACTCCCTCTTAATTGATAATAAACTGGATAAAGATTACTTAATAATAACACCTTCCATTATTTTAAAGCACTCAAAATATTGTAAAAAAAGTGGCGGATTCGAATTGCTGCTTTTGTTTGATACATATGACACTGCTAATTTACATAGAGCCAATGGTTCAACAGCGGAAACTCACAATTAATTTCAATAATACTCATTACATTATATCTGCAACTTACCCAAAATAATAATCTAAATAGAAATACACAAAAATATCATATCATAGATGCATTGAATTTCAGTTATGGAAGGATCAAACCTGAAATGGGATATACATATTAATTTGTTTTTACTATACTATAATTTTACCATTAATTATACCCCAAGAATTGTTTTCACAGAATATCATAAAAAAAATTAGACTCGCAAAAACATACTTTCTCGATCCTTAAATTAAAATATACCTAATATTAGGTAGTGATGGGATAATTAGAATTAAAAATAATCGGTCATTTGATTATTGCAATCACTCGAGATATCTCGAGATGTCAAATGGAATCATTCGAATGATTCAGATTAGTTGAATGTTGAATGTATCATATCAAATTAGTAGTGAGTGAAATAGTCGAAAACAGTATTAAAGGCTTGCGCCGCTACGCACCAGTGCAGTGCCGGTCTATATACCGACACTTGTTTGTAGGATGTGGTGAAATACAGGTTTGGGCTGAGAATGTTCAGAAATTTGTTGACGATAAACTTTGAATAATTACAAGTACAAACTTCATTGAAATTTAATGGTGGCTTGTTGAAAATATATTGAAAACATAAACAAAAAATGAAAGTCCTCACAAAAATGAAAATAAATTTGATGTTGGTTTAAATTGGTAGTGTTACCAAAAAATTTGCAAATTCGACACTAAACTTGACCATTTTCTATTTTGTCGAAATTTTCCCAACCAATAGATTTCTTAGCTCCAGACCGCATTGTTCAATATCAAAACAGTAATAATAACGGAATGAAGGTATCATCTTCACAATAAGTAAGAGTAGGAAAAATAATAGAATATATGTTTGTATTCTTAGTGCGACAAATTCAAACAATCCTTACTCATAAAATAATACAGTTCATTCTGAATTTAGCCATTAATGTGGGCGTTTCACATGGCACATGACCTCATGAGCATCGAGTGATTGCTTACTTATTGCTCGCATCGCCGGATCTCGAATTAAATCGGTGAGTGACGAGAGACATAGTGTATCCGAGTAATTTCATTCGAATTATATTTCGATTTTTGAGATCACTCGAGTACTCATCATTCGACTCTCTGAATCATTCGATTATGCACATCACTAACATTATGTTGAAATCAACTACCAACCTACCAAATGGAAATATCAAAAATATGTATTTACAAATAATATGAAAACCCCTTTTTTCCAAACAACAAAGAATAAAAAAAATCTCAACTTACTGAAATCTAGTGAATTGATACTTTCTCTGAACAACTTCCAATTAACCTTTTTTTTATCATCTAGAAACTCTAGTTCAGTTGAAACATTCAAGGTCCTTCTTGGTTCACTGAGGGATAAATACTGGAGTTTAGAACAATCTTGAAAATACTAAATATGCACTTAAAAAAACTTACAGTGCATTAAAGCCCCAAGAGCTACTGTTAACAACGGAGTACATTTTATATACTCTACCAAGTAGGGATCCATTTTTTGGGATGTATCTGAATCTGAAACAGTTCTGCATTCCTGTTCTCAAAATTCAAATTACTTACAAATTGTGTACTAGGTATGTGTTAGTATTAAACCAACCAGTAATGTAAACATGAATGGTTTGAAGGGAAATATCTCTTACTGCAAAAATTAGACCAAAAAGCTTATTGAATCATCTACAGACATCTGAAATCCAATTAAACTTCAAACAAATTTTAAACTTTAAAAAATTGGTCGTACATATTTCAGGTTATATATTACATCTGAAACATCTTTTCTGCTTCTTATTTCATATTCACATTAATTGGTTTTCGGTTTTGGACCCGAGCACAGAATATCGGAATTCTGTGACGCGAGCGAGCAGTATTGTTATATTTATTTGTTCATCTCTTATTACTTTTCCTTGTAATTTGTTGATAATATGACCCTGTAGATAACAAAAGAAAATGTTTTGGATAGTTACTGATAATTTGTCAAAGAAAAACTCAATAAAATCTTATCCCGACTAAAAGTAGGATTTATTGGGCATTTTTAAATTTGATAATTATCAAGGAAACAAAATTTGGTGACCCCGACGTGACCACGATATGGAGAAAGGTACATTCAAGCGGAAAAGTGCAGGTCTGAATCAAAGTCTGTCATGGGACTACGTATGGCCAAACGGATTTGGAAGTCGTGAGAAACCAGAATTCAATCTAGACAAACTACCTGAAAAGTCGTTGAAGATAAATCTGGCGAGTCAACTTCCTTGATACATGAGGTTCACTCGAAGCAGTCTGTTCACTCGAGAGCCTCAAGGAATACCGGATTATCTCGACGAAGTAGTTTGGATTTGAAAAAGAAAAGAATACCTACCTCTAAAAATAGAAAGACCTAGACGAGAGCTACAAAGAAAATCCAGAGAGCTAGAACTGGAAGAACAACAACTAGAAGAAAAGCAGTTACGTTCAATCAGAAACAAGAAGCGAAAATATCAGGAGAGAATTAGTTCAAGAACAAGAACAAAGAAACACAGTATCTCAATGGGTAGATTACACATCTGAACAATTTCATTATGATAGAAAAGAAAATCTGTCACGTACTGAGAAACTGAAAAACTCACTAACAACATACCCAAGGTCGAAGGACAATTTCTCGAAGAGAAATCAGGAAATATCACATCACAAGATATACAACAGCTTTACGAAACTGTTGCAAATGTTCTCGGAACGTTTTCTCTCCCAGCTTCAACAACTCAAAACCCAACGTCACATGAAGTATTGAATCCGGATAAATTTCACATGAGAAAAATATTAGAAAAGGATTTTCCACAGTTTGATGGCAGTCCCAGCAATGAAGAGATCATGCTGAAGCTGCAGGGATTTCTAATAGGGGAAGCAAAGAAAACAGTTGCAGGAATGATGTAAACTGCCTATAACGTACACCTTGTGATTGAAACTTTAGAGAAAGGGTTCGGAAGACCTGAATACATCATATATACTTCGATAAACAAAATCAGTATCCTTCCTTCCACAAGAGAAAATAACTTTGAAAACTGACAAAAATTTCCGGATTAAATGAAGTTATCCTGGGGTGAAAAGGTGGAAATGAAAAAGGGTGATATCAATTTAGAAGATTTCTCTTTGTGGTTGAACGAGAAAGCAAAAGCTTTGCGTGTAATGTTAGTACCCCACGAAATGAAACATTCTCACAGAAATTCACAATTGAAATAAAGAGAAATGAAAGAGTATGCAATAACTCACACCCAAAACACTCGTTATTGGTTATTGGTTATTGTGACAAAATACATCAAAAAAGCATTTGTCCATAGATGAATTATGTTGACCTGTATTAAAGATGGAAAACGGTAATCGAAAAAAAAAACTAAGTTTAAGCTGCCTTCAAAAGAATCATCAAAAATTCAAATGTGAAAAGAAGAAGATTTGAAGAATAAACGGCTGTAAACTTCAACATTATCCTCTATTACACAAAGAATTGGAAGTCTATAGCAATCAGGCAGCGATAGGAAGTGATATTGATGATGACAATCGGGGAAGAGTATGCTCTGTCAACAAACCTTTTACTACGATTCTTTTGAGAGTGATTCGTATAAAATCATACGGTCCACGAGCTTTCTCCTCTGAAACCTCTCTCTATCCCTAGGCTTCAACTCCAGGTTGTCTCATGTAATAAGGAACGAACTCGAGTTCCCCATAGATGAAATGTTTTATTGATCCGACTCATCATGTGTCTTGAATTGGATACGAGGAGACGAAAAGGAACTACAAGCCATTCGTATAACGTCCCAACAGAACTTAATATCGTGGATGAAATCGTGGATGAAGCTACATGCAGAAAAAAATTCGACATTCAAATGGATGGTTTTCTGGACCTTATTTTCTCAAAAAAACCAGAAGAATCATGGCCAATCGAAAATAAAAGACCTTCCTATTTAAATGAAAGTGACTTAGAGCTGAGAAATCAGAAAATTAAAACATGTTTTGTCGTTTTCCAAAAATATGAAGAATGCCTCCCAGACATACGACGAGATTCGAACTGGAAAAGAGGAACAAAGAAAAATTTCTTTCAAATCTAACAGTCAAGGATATCTTGAAAGTTGAGAAGATATGGCTGAAACATGTTCAACAGGAGTGTTTTCCAGAAAGAATACGAAAACTCAAAACTGGAAAATCTCTGAGTGGTCGAAGCAAAATAGCTTGTTCATTCCCAGAAATGAAAGATGGAATTATGCTACTAAGTGGACGAATGAATTTTACAGAATTTATGGCAGAGAGCACACGACAATCCACCATTCTGAGTCCAAAACATGAACTCATCAGTTTGTATTACAAAATTATCATGAAAAATTTCATCATAGAGGAGTAGAATTAGTCGTCATAAATGAAACCAACAGAAATACTGAGCGATGAATTGTCAAGCTGCAGTCGAATCAGCATTCTCGAGCTGTTTGAAATATAGGATTGAGAAAAGCAAACTTTCACTATCTCTAATGGGTCAACTACCTGAAGCACGATTAAAGAGAAGTGTTAGAGCTTTCATTAACACTAGAATGGACTATTTCGGCCCAATTATGGTGAAGATTGGTTGCAGATGCAAAAAAAGATGGGGTGTGCTATTCACATGCTTGACAGTTAGAGCTATTCATCTAGAAATTGCACATATCTGAGTAGCGATTCCACGATTCAAGCAATATTAAGAATGTCGGCTAGAAGAGGACAACCTCAGGTCATATTCTGCGACAACGGAACAAATCTTAGAGGTGCTGCACATGAAATTCGCCAAACTATGGAAGAAATAGATCGAACAGCGATTATTGATTCTTTGTCGTCAAGAGATATTAGCTTCCAATTCATTCCACCGTCTGCTCCCCACATGGGAGGAATATCTGAGAGTTAATGAGTTCAGTAAAAAGTGTCATCGGCAAAGTACTCAACGACTTATCTCTGAAAGAAGATACTTTACGAACCTTTTTTGCGGAAGTGGAGCAAATTGTTAATTCCCGTCCATTGACAAAAGTTTCGATGGATTCAGCTGATGCGGAAGCACTTACTCTGAATTATTTTTTGATCAGCTCTTCCAACGGAGAAGATGATTTGGTACCAATCAATCCAGATGCGAATAGTCTGAGAAGAGAATGGAAAATTTCTCGACTGCTGATGAATTCGTTTTGGACTTGCTGGACAAGAGAATATCTGTCAACCTTGTCGAAGCGAAGTAAATGGACTAATAATTGCAAAACCCATAGAATTCATTGTTGATTACGGAGCTAACCGATCACATTTTTCCACGCTCTTGTAAATACCAAAAACAGAGCAGATGTATCTGACACGACAGATCTGAATTATCGAACGTGTAACGAATCTGAAGCCGCCCCTGACCGATATGTCAGCCAGCGAACAAACACATGACATCACCGCAAAAGGAATGCAGTGACTGCCGATTAAACTCTAGTTGAGTACCGAAACGACTATAGAATTCTAGACTGGCTTCTCGTCCCGAGAGGGCAGTGGAGTCCAGAAAGTGAATCGAGCGGTTAAACAAGGAATTCAAATAGTGGAAATAAATTAAGCGTTAGTTCCTAAATGTTGTAAATAAATTAGTTTGTGGTAGTGAAATATTGTTAGAAATAAATTTGTTTAAGACAGTAAATTCTTTAATTTGTTACAATTGATGTTAGAAGTGGGATTTGTAAAATAAATCTGTGAGCTCTTGGTGGACAATCTTTGTATTGCGGTGAAATTGACTATAAGACTTATTTGTTCGCGCAGACAGACTGGCGATTCGTTGTGTTTCGCGAAGTGGAGAGTACCGGACTACGGCAATATAAACTGATTGACCTTTTTCGCGAAAAATAGACTTGTGAAAATAAATAAGTGTTCCGGACTCGATTAAAATAAGTGGACAAAATATATTCGAGGAAAGTGCGCCTGACGGCTCGATAAGGTTCTGCGTGGATTATCGCCAACTAAATAACGTGACGAAGAGAGACAGCTACCCTCTTCCAAGAATTGATGACACCCTAGACACGCTAGCGGGCTCACAATTTTCTCGACTTTGGATTTGAAGAGTGGATATTAGCAAGTTGAATTGGCCCCAGAAGATCGAGAAAAGGCAGCTTTCACCATCGGCTCAGGATTGTGGCAGTTCACGGTTATGGTATTCGGGCTTTGTAATGCTTCAGCGACCTTCGAGAGATAGATAAAGACGGTTTTAAAGACGTGTCTAGTGTATCTCGACGATATAATCGTGTTCAGAAAATCGTTCAACGATCACTTAAAAAATCTGAAGGAGGTATTCATGCGTCTGAGGAGTTCTTGATTGAAACTTAGTCCCAAGAAATGTTATCTGTTCCAGAAAGAAGCCCGTTACCTTGGCCACGTTGTCTCTGGGAAAGGAGTGGGTAGACGAACAAAAGACCAAAGCAGTTGAGAATTGGCCAATTCCAAAAGACATACATCAGCTTCGAAGCTTCCTTGGTTTGTGCACTTACTACCGCAGATATGTGCTGGGGTTTGCCAACATCGCCAAACTATTGACCCGACTTACAGAAGGGCAGATCCAGTTCTCCAGTGGTCTGAGGAATGCCAAGACTCATTCAAGAAGTTGAAAAGAGCTTTGATCAACGCTCCTGTTTTGAGCTATCCCCTACCGGTCGGAAAGTTCATTTTAGATACAGACGCCAGCAACGTGGAACTTGGAGCAGTCCTTCCTCAGATCCAGGATGGATAGGAGAAAGTTATTGGCTACTTCAGCAAAACGTTCAGTAAACCAGAGCGCAATT